GACCTCTTGCTTACTAGTGCAGATGTCTTAACCACTCGACCACCGAGCTTGCCGGGGTCTGCTGGCCGGTCGGAGTCAAATGAAGCAGCGGGTCCGAGTCAAATGAACCAGTGGGTACCACGAACTATTCGACTCGGACCGGCCAGCCGACCTCGGCAAGCGGACCCTTACATAATTCCAAAATGTTACATGCAATGTTTTTAATGTAATCATTTTGACTTATCCTAATTTCTCGTTTAAGTCGTTGTGTGCGTTCGTTGTATTTTTCCCAGAGATGAGCCCGATTGGAACGTTTGGCAATTTTAAAGCATCTGTCACTTTTTCTGATCAATAATTTAATCTCACCTGTAATCCGAGGAGAGGGTTTACGGGTGCACCTAACATCTTGTGTGGAATGCTGGAATCAGCAATATCCAGTAAGTGTTTCCAAGATAACCAAAAGTTTGTATATTATCCTCCTGGACTGCATCAATTTTTTTAGCACCCGCATTTTATACGTCACTCGTAAATATACTAATATCAGTTTTTAATAATACTAAACCTTTCTCTTTTCCCGGGAAGCTCATTCAAAAGCGAAGCGAATTTGACGTCACGAAAAATCTGCAGCGAAATTTTGCTCGAGTTTGATCTGACGTCACAAATACGCATTTGTGTTCGTGCCAAGTAGAAACCGGCCTTCAGGTGATGCGTAGCATTGATGTAATTAACTACAGACTTTTTCAGATCAATGCATAGGAGTGAGTCAGCATGGTTTTTGCATTTTACACGAATCAAGACTAGTGAAGGAACAATCACGCAGCCCCCAAGGTGGAGGCTCAGATATGCCTATCAACGTAAACGCGCCACGCACATTGGCTAGAACCCAACTTTGCATTGAATAGTTTCATTTTCCCCTCCGTGCAAGGGCATCGTGTGTTCATGGGAGGTTTACCTTGTGTACTGATGCATGTGTCAATTAAAGTCATTTAATATTCGGACGTACAGTAGACTTGACTCAAGTAGGGATCTCTGTTACGTCTTCGTTTAAGCTTTGGATACACATCAAGACCGCGCGCCGTTACTTGCTTTGCGCCCTCTTGTGTCCAGTTATTACATCTACTATTAGTTCAGTTCAGAAATCCAGACTTGACGAATCTGCCAACTGTTGGTAAATAGCGAATGGGCCCATCTACGAAAAGAGGTAGCTGCCAATCACATTGCCGGACTTGTTTTTACGTCAAGTCGGGCTGGTGACGTATGACACACGTGATACAATAAAGGCTATCAACTGAGGGCGTATTATAAGGGTTATGGTGAGCTGCCTGGCCAAGCACGACGACCATGCAGTGCCTACCGTCTGAAGGGGTGGCTGACTAGGGAAGAGCAACGTAAGTCCGACCTGATGCAAGTCTAGACGTATAGCCAAAGATTTACGAACCGTGTGGTGGGGGGCATGAGGAGCTAGAGCAGCAGAAAGCATTGATGAAGTCAGCCGGTCGAGGGGTGTTCGGAATGAGGCCATCGTTGTTGGTTCCCTCCATCATGAAGGCACACTCGCTTTGCCGCCGGTGGTTCGTATCACACACTGATAACTTGGCATCTCTTCCTTCAGTGTTTATCAAAGACCACAGGTTGCTCCTAAAGCCTGCCTCGTAGGCCGCTTTGAGTTGAGTCAGTGTGCAGAGTTGCATACCGTACTGTGCGCAGGCGTCCCTAGCCAGAGACAAGTCAGCACTGGGGTATTTCTCTTTGGTTCTGAGGAATGCAGAGAATTCTACGCAGAAATAAAAGACAAAGAAAAAAGTATCACCGTGGAGCACATCACCTTGAGCAGAAGCACTCCCTCATCGGTTTTTGTCCTGAATGTTCAATCAAGCACCATCTTGTTTGTAGCAACGCGACCGCGCGCAACACATAATTTTCATAATTCACGTGTTAGCTACCAGTACAGTTGAAAACGTGATTCTGATAAAAACTTTGCCTACTTCACGTCTAATGCTCTTTTTGGTATTTTGTATCACAAATCATGACTTAAATTTCTCACTTCATGTTTCGGTTTCCTTTCTGTCTAATTCAACAGTGAAACTGTTGTGAAAAGTTTTGTGCACTTCCCCCAGCGCGTTTTATATATAACGTAATGTAATATCCCACCCTCAAGTCCGGGTTCTGCCTCATGCATCAACAAATACTGGCTGTTTATTAGGCATTCTCCGCTAATATTCTACGATTGCTACTTAATGTTTCATGAATTCACGTGAGTTTAATGTGTTTGTGATTTGTCAAAATTGATGTTCTTTTCTATTTGGCTGACGAAAGGCACAAAAAACAGTGTCACTAATATCTTACAACCAATAAACTTGAAAGTTGGTAGGGGCATGAACCCTCGAACCTGAGGTATGCCGATAAGGTTGACGTCATGATCACGTCGTCAGATGTCAAACTGAAAAAAATCAATCGTGCAATACCTTATCTTACTTTTCACGGCAAGCCACCAAGTAAATCAAGGTCATCTTTTTTTGTCACGTGTGCCAAATCATTTGACCGGAAGTGCTTTTTTAGTCGAAATTGGTATGAATGTCTTTTAACAGTGTTCATCTGTTGTAAGATGGACTTGTTCAAAAATTGGACCAGGGATGGCATGAAATACCCTGGCGCCCTCTACGGCAGATTTAAATTTGTTTAGATGCAATCCTTGCTTTTACGAAAGTGCGCCACCTATAATGCATTATTCAACAGGCAGGCCACGAGAATGGGCAAGTCCCCGTCCTTATTTGCTCTTTGCATCAGAATCGCTTTGTCCAATCGCATGGTATAATAACTAACGCAATACGCGCAAAATTGCGTAGGTAACATACACAGGAATCATTAAACCAGCTAATACATGTATTTATTGTGTAAGCTTCCAGATGGAGGCTGTGCATGCCTACAGCGGAAGCCCGCAAAGAACAAATTACATGTACAGGTGTGTCGAAAAGTTGACATATACCTGGTAGAAAACAGTCAATTTTTCCCAACTTTTTCATGAGATCCGACAACTTTTATCTCAACGTAATGTTCAAAGTGTGTACTTCAATTGAAAATACTAGAAGACATGGTTCAAAATATTAATACATGTATTGCTGAAAAATTGTTTTGTAAAAAGTTTAAATCTACCCCCTTATTGTTGTCCAAAACACTTCAGAATGTGGTCCGTTGCGATTATGAGATGTGACCAAAGATACAGAAAGTGGCACTCAATATTAGGTTTGGAGAATGTAAAATTTTGATTTTCTTGTAGATATGAATCTATCTCTGGGTGTTTTTATTTGACGCATACACCATGTCTGTCCTCGTGAAAAGAAAAGTTGATAGGAACTAGTGAAGTTGTGAAATTTGAGAAAAACTGTTTTTGTTTTACTAGGTGTATGTACACTTTTTGCCGAGTTGTATATAGGGACTGGTGGCTCGCTGGCTTCTGGAGTCCGTGGTTGGTTTTGCTGTGCGCGTGCGCAATTGCCTATTCTATTTATACAGAGGTGCGTGACAGCCGATACCTGGCCGACTCTGCTCGCCACCAGACTGGATGAACCCATAGAACTATGGGGGTTCGTGACGTGAAGAACCCCATAGTTCTAGGGGTAGCCGGTATGTAATATCTGACCCAAAAGAGCCACTTTGCGCCACACTCTTGCCAAATCTATTCAGCAATTTCGTCTCCTCCTCAATTATACTGTCTGACATAATTTTTACCAAACAACGAACGCGATTTCCCGGCCTCGTGCACGCTGTATAATCGTGCGAAATGGAAGCAGTAAAGGCACAGGAACTAGACCTGATCGAGGGTCGCCAAGGATACGCTGCTATGTGAATGCCGGATTATGTACACATACGCACGGAATTTCCTGAGCGGTAATGTGCTACAATTTGTTTTCTGCTACATTGAATATTCAACCTTCAAAAGAGACTCCGAACTTTGATGTGCTCCTTTTCTATACAATTGAATCATCGGCCAAAAAAGCGCTTCCGTCTAGTTGGGTTTGATTTTAAGCAAGTTGATCAAGACGTGTATTTACCTATGCTGTCTTTGACACACAGGGGGTCATGTTTTTGACTGTTGAAACAACCAGGTGAAGCGTCAGTTGGCTGAAGAAAGGGTGAAAAAGATGTGGGTTTATTATTACTTTAATATAATTAATGCACTAAGTATATTGCCATGCAAGAGCCCTTTCATTCAGTTACCACACTGTTCGTGTTCACACACAGGGAGCTGCAAGCTAAACTACTTACAGGTGCTTTTCCATATGTACGTTTTTTGGGTGCGTTTTGTATACCTTGCGTTCACTTTTACGGACACAAAAATCGACTCCATTAACATAACACACGTGTGTGTTGTGCTCAGCCGTCAAAATTGCCGCTGGAGCGATTTTGACGGAAAGGCAAGGCTTGGCGCAAGTGTTGACGCGCGCATTATGGAAAGGCGCCTTAAGGTGTGTAAGGCACGCCCACCTGTCGCTGACGAGTCAATGGTGTTCCTTTGAATTTTTTCAATACCAGTGTCACGGTCTCGCTTTTACCGGTGTGCTGGCCGAGTTCATGATTGTATGAGCACGTCAAATATAGGGGAATTTATTTCAATGCAAGGCGGATATTGCCTTCCTTCTCTGTGTCCGGTCCTTCGTTTTGTATCATAAGGGAAGATAGTTATGCACTGGAAGATTTTTTGGATTAAAATTTTTGTGGGCTGTAAAAAGTATATATGTCTGACACCAAGCAAAGGCTCCTATTAGCGATAATTACCAAAACGTAAACAGAAAATCACACGCCTTTAGATGATAATTAAGCAGGCAGCTTTACCACTGCAGTTTAATAGTGAAACCAACATTTTATGGTTCTAGCAAGGTCAAACGTATTGTTGTTAGAAATGCAATGAAATGACTATACTTTGTGAAAGATGCAGCACTACTTACAAACTAATTAGAAAGAATATTTTACAGTAACTGTAATTTGGCAGAGCATAGGCAACAGTCGGAGCTTGAGGGTTTTTAAAGCTTTCCAGCGATTGTCATAAGTAACCATACTTGGTATAGGAAATGGAACGGCGGTATTAACCATGCAGTTTCACCTAGTCAGGGCTGTTAAGACTTCAAAACAAATTTGTATGCACAAAGCAGTGCAACGTTGTGGTTCAGTGCCTTGGATTACATCACCGTGTTTCTCACGAATGTGCAAAGTCCTATTAACATAAAAGCCAAAAGGGCCCAAAATTACAGACTAATATAGCAAAACAAAAATTGAAAATAAGGTAAATCGAAACAAAAAGTTGCTATTTCAAGGATTTTAGTAAAATGTTTCTCTCACATGGTTCTGTTAACCTACCTCAGCTTCGACGTAAGAGTAGAACCAGCCTGGCCTCCGGACCAAACGATCGGGGGCTTGGTAGTGGGAGGCATTGAGATTGAGTTGGCAATGGCCGGTATCCATGAAGTAGTTGACTGAGCCACACCAAGGGGTGGATTTACACACCCCGTGGCAGGCCCCTTGAGACTCGGTTAGGTGCAAGATGTGGGTAAAGCCAACCAGAGCAGCGTCGATTATGCCGCACCACCAGTGGGGGCAACTTGGAACATCGCCAGTAGTGCAGACTAACCTAATCAAAAGTGAACACGCAAGTATGCAGAGGAGCCCTTCGCCAACGCTCTCCATTTTTACAATGATCATAATCGGACAACTGGCGTCAGTTAACAGACTGTGGTGCCTTCCACTTTAAAGGCACAGTTGGTCGGCGGTAACACCATTGTAATATCAAATAACTCCACAACCATTATACTTGAAAAAAAGTTTCAGAGCAAGACAGGACCTTGTTGTTTTCAGGTTTGTTTCAAAATAAATCATTTGAGGCAAATTTAAACATAGAACGCAAGAAATATCTGGGTGAAAGGTAACTTTAAAACAATTAAGTAAACAACGTTAGTTGCTTCAGTTTTGATATACTACCAACAACTTCTGTTCTGAATAATTACACTGGACTTCGATGTAATAAAGCATGGTGTAGATTTTACACAGCGAACTGCTAAACGTCAATCCTGTTTATTTCTGATTATTTTTTAAACCTTTGCCACTAACTCGGTGCTGCAAAAATTAAACATTAATAGTTTAATTGTTTGATTATAGTTGATTTAAAATCGTAATTATTATCCGGAAGTTTCACTGAGACTGAGAGGGCTCACTGATCTCGAAAGGTGGTAAAATATTCTTTCTCAAGAAATCTTCTTTAATTCTGCATTTACAGTCTTCAGTCGGCATGGCAACTGCATAATATTTTGTGGGCTGGCAATTGACCTTCGATAAATAGCTATGTGTTTCAGGCTAGGCGTGACAATCGAAATTACACGGGAAAAGATCTACCATGGACATAAAGTGGTCCGTGGTTCATGGTACGGCTGTTATATGCCTACAATTAGGAACACTACACAAAGATTATACTGTATTACCGATGAAACTGTCAGTAATTCTCACAATGCACCATGACCTAATTGCAGTAAGTTAAACATTTATCTGTCTGATGGATCCTAAAATAACAGACAGTAATAAGCCGCAGTTTAAAGGGGAGAAATAACGTTTGTTGGTATGTAGTTTATATTTTAGTAATAGTTGTAGATGTATACGGGCCGTGTCTTACACTTTAGGGGTTGTAGTTCTTCGCCGAAATGCAATGCTTTCACACACGAACGGATGATAGCATCAGTTGGTGTGTGATGCGAGTTCACGCATGTGTTTGACCATGATTACACCACAGAGGAGACGTCACCGTTTCGAATGTTAAAACATTGTCTCTCCCTCACAGACCAAGCACAGGCACTTACCTAAAAGGACAACCACTGACAAGCGAGGTCAGAGTTTGTACTGAAACATTAAAACGATCAGAATGCTTTCCACCTCGCCGCGTAATACCAAAGCTTTACGGTCAAACAAAGACGAAATGTGTGATAGTGTTTATATAGTACGATGTCTCCCCACATGCGCCAAGTTAGTTATCCTTGCGTGGACCTGACAAGAAGTCCATACAAGGCAGGCAACTTGATGAGGATGTTGTGTGGATTTCAGTTGAATTGAATAATTTATTGCTACATAATAAATGTAGGTTTTCCCGCCGAATTCGTCCACTCTCCACACGCAGTCAAGTTCATTATTGTTCATTCGTATTCCAACGGTTTTTTTTCAGCTGCTTGCACCCATCTTTCTTTTTTCTTAGGGTAGATCCTACCAATTCATGTACGGGTGTCAAATAGTGTACTGTAAAAAAAAAACAGTTTAGAACTAATTTCATTCCAATGAACAGTGCGTAACCGTCATTCGATTTCGCTCTGAGTGGGTGTCTGACTGGAATGAGAAATTTTTTCAAAACTTTTCTTTAGTTTTTGTCTATGAGCAATCATGTTCGCAGTTAGAGCCTTCAAATTGGAAAACTACAAGGTAAGAGGAATTATATGGCAGCTTAAGATGCGCATAGAACTGAAAAGGGAGATTACGAATAGAAAACACGCCAGGAGTGTGTCCCACGTATGGACTTCAATGTATATATTTTTTATAGAATACAGAATGCAGTACATTTACTCCAATACTGATTGCCCGTTTAATCAAAATGTAGAAATGAAACTCTCCCTAGACCTTCATCGGGGACGCTGAAAGAAAAATTCTTTAAATGCAGATAACTGATTTGTAATTTTTTTTAATTCATACACAAGAAACATGCTCTCACTCCGTAAATGTGCATGTATAAAAAGATTTTTCAGATTCTCTTAACCAATGACTTTTTTTGGGGGGGAGGTCACATTTTTAAAGTAATGTTTTTGCTAATCCCTCTTAGACATTTCCCCACTTTGTCCATTTGTGAGATGTAAATAATTTTAGGTCGCGGTTATACTTTCTTTTCATAACAATTCATACTGAACAAAGTACGAATTGGTAAATAAACATTGATCAATTGTTATTTTTTAGAGAACTCTACCCGTGAATCAAACGTTTCCTTTCACGAAATATTTTGCATAAATTAGTCACAAAGAAAAACTTAGAAAATTTAAAGTTTAATGAATAACATCACATGAATCTTACAAAAGCTTGCCCATTCACAAAACTGAATGCCAAACACACACTGCGGCAGTGTCCGGGAGAAATTGAAGGCTTCTTGAGTGTTTTCCAAATTGAATGCTGACCCTTCACTTTTGAATAACAAGACTGTGCAATCGCCTTCTAATAGAATAAAACTTAATGATCAGTTTTGCTCTTTCTTTGAATGGTAATCTAGATAGTCAATCGATTTCGTGCTAAGTTGAATGAAACTGTCGCTAATTTGTGTGCAAAGATGATGAATTCCGCTGGGAGAACCTATACTAAAATACAGTTTTGTAGAAATTGTCTGGGTTGCTTGCAATATAAAAAAAGATAAATAAGAATTAAAAATGTAAATATTTTAAACACCTATTTTTACATTAACACGTAAAATCGGAATAATCATCCAAATGAGAAAAAGCATTAAGATGTGCTTACGAACGATACTTAAAGTGTATAGTATTGAGTTTTAAAGTAACACAACAAACATTACAGTTGTTTGAAATCCCTGTTTAAATATCTCACTAAGTCACCATAGAAACAAGTACCATGATGGCACTTGTTTCTATGGTGACTCAGTCTTTGTGCCTCCCCACCTGGAAAAGTCCATCAGCAATAATGAGCGTTAACTGAAGTTATTGCCCGACCTCGCATCGATGTTCGCTGTCGGTGAATCTCATTGGTCGGGGTCATTGGACAACCAATACTGACGATTTGTGAAATACACTGGATTTACTCTATCCGTCAAACAATATTATAACACTTTTGATATCTCTACAAAACTGCATGAAAATCCAGCGCTTAGGCCTACATTGTTACATGCATTTATTCCATGTTGCCGACAATAAAACCAAACTAAACAGAACCAGCCGCTCGTTGGGTTTCGTGAAGTCTGAAGTCATAATAGGTCAGTTCTGGTTAATGTATACATCTGGACTCCGTTTTGGAATCAGTACAATTTCCGACTTATGTAAGTTTTGGGAAACCGTGGGCAGATCCAAGGAGGCGTGGGGCGTACGCCCCCTTTTTTACTGAATGGATAATCAAAGGTGTCGGGAAGCTGGTGCTAACACAGCTTTGAGTTGAATTCATTCGGCTGATTTGGAAGTTTCGGATTTACAAAATTGCACAAGTTGATTAACCACCATCATTTTCACAAAATGACTGACTGCGCATGCAAACGTTGGAAAGCCCGTGTCGCAACAAAAGTAGCTTGCAATAGACCCTTTTATCAAGGGGGAAAATTTCCGATAGCGTTTCATGAATCTGTGAAATTTACTTGGGGTGGTACCAGACTATTTGGGGCTCCTAGCCTAAAAACATATTGCTTAAAATATTTAATACAGTCTCATGCAGGTTCAAAAAAAATGAAAAGTTAACCTCACTTTCAATTCAAGATGGCCGCCACATGAATGAAGTCTACATACACTTTGGGTCGCAACTCTCTGATACTTCGAGATCATGGTGAAACAATTATTGTAATGGGCAATTAAAGTGGATAAAGTCGATCCTCATCGCCAGACATGCGTGAAGCGTATCGTGTTTGGGTATGACTATATACAGGTAATAGTGAAGGTAACTGACGTACATCCTAGAAATGAAAATCACCTCATTAAAGGCTACTCAGTGGCATGACGACGAGTAATGTTGTTTTTAATATGTATTAGAGCTGTGAAATATTATACACGGCACTTCGTGATGACATGCCATGGCGTAACGAACAGTTCATTGAGTATCAAGATAACTACTAAAGGAATCCACCACACCTGAAAACGGCTGATAGTGTTACACATTAAAAAAAAACAGATGTATATCGTCTAGTAAAAAGTTTAATGCTTTCCCTTAGCAAGTTTTCTACAGTGTGTAGTAATGAAAACTTAAATGTTCAAAAAAGAAAACAAATCCTGTAATTAATCTTCAGAAACGGATACTAACATTTTTATATAATTTCAATAATTATAACCGATTAACAATTTTAAAAGTTTTTCAATAGTAGACCCATGCACTGTCAACTCTTGAATCTTTTCGTCTAGTATTAGATTTGGGGATATAAACAAAGAAATATCAACTTTGATTTGAGAATTAGTGCAAAAACATGAAATGAGACATATCTCAAGTAATAAATTTCGATGAATAATCAGTGCCTTTTTACATTTTATTCTCTTGAGAGTAGTTGATTATATCAGTTTGCTATAAATACTCAACAGTGCTAACCACAGTCATTATCTTCTCAGTCGGAACGGTTTCAGTTTTCGCCGTCAGCATGCAGGATTACTTCTCATATTTGTAGTCTGTCTTGTTTGTTCGTGGCCTTGTCCATTTTCTGCTGATTCAAAGGGTCTATGCAATTTAATCTTTCTTAAATGCAACCCCCGGAAAGTACCTCTGTGTCTCAGTTAACCTTATTTTCAATTATTGTTTTGCGATCGTTAAGGACATTTTGATGTAATTTTCGTGTTATGCAAATGGAGAGAAAATCTGAATTTTACATTAACTTCTAGAGTAAAATGCAGGAATTGTTGCATTGTACTAGCCTAATTTTCATTTTCTTTTGTGATTCATTTTTTTAGGTTTGCACGCAGTTCTCTGTACGTGTGACAGATTATATAATAGTACCGCATACGATTATGTGTGTGGCCCGCGTTTGACCCGGGGCAAAAAGAATGAATAGTCATGAAGAATAGTCATGAATAATATTCAT